CCCCAAAACCCCAAAACCCCAAAACCCCGTGATTAATGCTACTAGTTGATATTAGAATATGAAATATTTTAAAGCCAATAGATTGGAAAGTCTCTCTGAAAGAGTTTATTATCCAATATTTTGGTAGGCAAAAGTCAAGGATAGAATCAAATATCTCTTAAATCTCTGGTTTTAATTTAGCTATCGAACTCCGGAAATGTCTTTGATATACAAGTAAATTCAGAGAAATTTTATTAACTGAAGCTTCCATTATTAATTTTGTCCTAATCATTCTTATCTATGTTATTGTCTGGAGTTTAAATTTCTTTCCTTTTCAATATATCTATTAATCTAGAGCAAAATTCATTAGTATCATGATAAATTATGATGTTTAGGCTCCCTTTAGTTTGGTTAAAGCAAGCAAGATTTTGCTCAAATTCTCAGATTTTATGTTCAACTTATCCTGAGCATGATAAAATAGTATATCTTAATTTCTTATCACCAAATTTCCTGATATCCTTCTGAGTAAGTTCTTTTATGTTGAATAAAAATTCAAAGATTTTTTATTTACTTATATAGCTAATACAATAACTATGTTATCTAATTAATCACTAACTCACATTCATAAGCCCAGATATTTAAGAAGATATTTACTTCTCAATAGCTTTATTAGTGGAAATTGGCCTCATAACAATGACAGCCATCATATTAGAGACAGTAGAGACTAAATTTAGCCAAACTGATATTTCTTAAATAAATTTCGAAATGGAATTCAGGATTATTATCATAATTCCTCATATATTTACAAATTTTAAGAGCAAATCATTAAGCTAGTTGGAGCTATAATTTATAAAAACTCTATCATTTCAATATGAGGCTATGAGACATTCTAATTCCCTTAAACCTTAGCTTCACTGATCTACTTTCTCTTATGTATAGTTATCTTTAATTTTTAAAGGAAGAAATTCCTGGGATTTCTCATAAATTTCAGGTTTTATGAATTATTAAGTAGCATTCTTAGTTCAAGAACAAGTGTAATTAGTATGGTCCTGGATGCTAAAGGGCTAAGCTTGATGTATAGGAATACTCTTAGAGTAAATTCTTCGACCTCTTTATTCCTAGACTCTTCTAAGATTAATAATCTTTCATGAATATTGCCAATAATTTGATAGTTAAAACAGGTTTAAATGGTACGATTGGTGAAACTTAATAAATGGTTGACCCTATTTTAAGAGTAATACAATAATTTACTAGAGGCTTCATTACCTTATGACCAATGCCAGCTCTCACTCCAAATTGGATCAGTTTATTAACTAGCAGTGGCTAATTCTACCGGAAATTCATAATATTTAATTAAAAAGTGATTAAGACAAAATAAGTAATTTTGAATACTACCGATTAAAGAATCAGATTTAGGGTTATTAAAGAAATTTTAAACTAAAATTAATAGAGATCTCTTTGAATTAAGCTCAGCAAGCATGAATCATTTTTGGTGAAATATTCAGAAAGTTTTTCGTATTCCAAAAAGAAATTTTTTGTAATAATTAACCTGATATTTCCATATTCCCATTCCAACCCCTTTGTGATATTATCTACTCGCATATATGCTCTCATAAAGCATTGTTAACGATCATTGTGTGCTTTTATTCCCGATTCTCTCATTTTAATTTGGCTCAAAATAGTGCAATAACCTGGCACTAAATTAAGGGCTCAATAATAATTGGGGAGGTAATAATAGATAAATTATATTATTAGCTTGCTTTTGTGATAAATTAAAGATTTATGATAGCTCTATATTTATTGCCAAAGAATAATTTAGGATTTCAAAAGATTTAGAAATCATTAAATTTATTTCTAGTGAATTACATAATCCTAATAAAAAATGTTATTACTAAGAGGATTAATGATGTTCCTTTGCTAAATATTTTGGCCATTTAGAACCTCAGATTCTTCGCTCTGGTCTCCTGGCTTAAAATTAGTGAGAAATTAATAACAAGCTTATAGGTAATTATTAATACGATTACGTTTATTTTTCAACACCAAAAGTTAAAAAATTGTTTTTCTCCAAATTCTCTTTAGGGATTTTGATTCCTTTGAATGAGGTACTGTCTGCTAGCTTCTTTTGGTTACAAAACTGGCTTTTTATACGAATTTTAGCAGATTTTTTCAAGAGGGCACTTATATCGTTTCTTAAACTGCCTCTTTTTGAATTAATATCTTTTCCTCCACTGTTTAAAGGAGAGCAAGAATGCTCTTTGCGAGTCTTTGACGATTTGATACATTCAAAATATGAATTTTTTCTGTTACTTTTTCAATGCAAATTCTCATCTAAACCTTTGAGCACCAAGGTCAAGCTTGAGTCTTTGTTGCCCAGAGGCTTTATGCTCTTATATGTTTTGAGCGAAGACATTTTCATATTTTTATACATATTCTCGTTGACTTTTACCTTCCTAGGAGATGCATCTTCACTCAGGAAGTCTTCTGAGAGGTTCTCTTCGAACTCAAAAGTATGGTGGCTTTTCATCTTGATAGAAATTATATCAAAAATTCTATTTATAAGCTAACTCGGGGTTTTGGGGTTTTGGGGTTTTGGGG